GGAATAAATAAAGAAAATCAGATTAAAAAAGAACAAAAAACACGAAGAAAAGGAATTGAGCCCCCCAAAATGCCCCTCTACTCTTCCATCAGAAGAAGAGTTTAGGAGAGAGGGAGCGTGTACAAACATGAAAATAAGATATCAGGTTTCTTTAAAGCTATATAATTAACGCCATATTTTTTTTCTTCATATGAAGATCTTTAACCTCTGTTGACTAATATTTCTGTTCTGAAGTCTAGGTGGTGTTTAAGGTTCATGTTTTTAACGCATGGGATCTCTAAGCCTCGAAAAAGAGAAATATTCTTTATTTTTCTGAAAAGTGCCCTTAAGGGCTAATTGATCTCATATCCACCGGCCGAAATCGGCGGGTAAAACTATGGATAGTAATTTATAACAATTAGCAAACTAGTGGGCAAAATTTTCTGGTTTACCTGAAAAGTAGGTGACATTTGTCATCTAAAATAAACCTTCAGGCAGCAAGCGGTTTTAGCTGCCTCTTAATACAACCCTCTCCCTGACCGCCCCGCTGATGTGAGTCAAGAGGAGAATTTTGAAGATCTACAACCCCCGACGGTAGTTTTGCGTGTTTTTTTTTGTTGAGGACACAGTATGCCACATGTACGGCTTTCAACTAAAAGTTTACTCCGTAGATTAAATTTCGAAAGCACGTTTAATGGTTGTACACGTATTGAAAATTGATCCGGAAGACACGCAACTCGGTGAACGTCAGTTTTGAGGCCACGAAAAGCATATATGCCCCTCTGTGGAAATCGACTATCAGCTCATCCTGGTTACGAATAACTTCCTGGCTGTGGGCTTCCTCTTCAGCTATTGCATTCTATGAACAGAAGCAAGTATGCGAGCCCTAGGTTCATGTATCAAAGAGTGCTATTACAATTCTGCATGGTGCACAGTGTCGTTGTGTCTTTCCACGGTTTTTTTTTTATCAAGATTTCCAGGTTTTTATCTGTTGTGAGTGTCATATTGTGGCTTTAAAAAGCATATCGGGTGAAAAATAAAACAAATATTTGTCAACACGATTTTAGCCGTGGAAAAATAAGTTCTTCATACTTTCTACACAAGTTTTTAGAAAAGCCTGATCAGATTCTTAAACCTTGCCAAACCCTTTGTTACTTCGGTAAATTACAAGTAAACCACCGAAAACCACAAGAAGTTGAGAGTATGCGGCTATATTTTCCTATATAACATCCTTGTGTTCTTTTCATTTTGGCAAAGGATCATAGCAACCAGCAGACAGCCCACGGTCCAACTGTGGCAGAAATTTACCCAAATTCTTTAGTGTAGGACAACGCGCTCTAACATTTCATGGCGACTATTCAGAAAAGAAGCAATGTCTAGCCTGTAGATGATTTGAAGCAGTCCAAGAAATTAAGGAGGTAGTCTTTGAGTGACACCAAGACGTAACAGGGAGCAGAAAACTTGATTTAGATGTACGATTAATTACTTTTCGAAGGTAACCAATGAAAACTCGAAAGAGGTTTCAAGTGTCCGCAAAAAGGCTCCCCAGATATGTAAAACAGTGAATTTGTCACGAACGTCGCTCTCTGTTCTCGTGCAGGACCACCCGCAAGGCGGAAACAACACCCTACCAGGCATATCGAGAATTAGGCGGCTCTACGATCAGGCCACGGGATTACAGAGCTGTCTATGAAGTTTCCGAGTTTTTTAACACTTTTAATACTGATACAAGGGAGTGCAAGTGAGATATAGCCACTTTCGGCTGGCATTTTAGCCGCCAGTCATCTACGCCCTAACTCTTATCTGGGGAGGCTCGACGACAAAAAAACATCCACGCGTTATGAGCACGAGTATTACAGAATAGAACCTGCTTAAAGCAGCAAACGCCAAGATAGTCACCATGTGATGAAACTAGTAAAACTGGCTGATAAACGCAAAAATTCCTCAGCTGCATTCAAACTAGCAAGACAGCTACCACGAGATGCCTTGTTTGCTTCAACTTCTAGAAGATATCAGAACCTACATGTCTTGGAAATTCAGGTAATTCGATGTTTCTTCCTTTTGGAGAAGGTGTCTCCTCAGTTTGTCACTGGCGGATGAACGAAACTCACTCATCCCCTTTTGTCTTCGAGCTCACCCTCGAGCCCCGTAAGCAGCCGCACAACGACTAATTAGAGGCAAGTGAACATTGTCGACAAAAACCATGGAGGCTAGGATGGCCATTTCTGGCTTATTAGCCGTCATCAGCCAGCTAGACATACTCAAACCCAAGTGGTGTACCGCAGCGGGCTGGAGCACTGGACTTCTCAGCAACAGGTCGCCTGATCGAACCTCGGGTGGTGCATCACCTTCAGTAAGGTATGACTGACTTATGACGACTAGTGAGCCAGAAACGAGTGTTCCAGTCCCCCTTTTCATTTTCGACGAGTTCTATCAGTCTAACGAGTTAATGGTTGATGGAATATCAGCCCCATGGTATAAGCTGTCTAACTGGTAGAACTCATCTGCAGATAAGTTGGCAGTGCCCATTGCTACAGTGTTACCAATACCCACATAGCTCGAGTATATTTGTTCAAGGGGAGAAATACAGAAACTCAACAAATTTATTGCAGCCGGTCATTGCCTCCGTTTACTCAGTCTCTTAATCGTCTGCCTCCGTTGTGCAAAAGGGCAAACACTTAGACACGTTTGAGCTTTCGAAGTTTGAGAAAAATGAAAGACAAAGCTGAATTTCGGTTATAAACTTGGGGTGATAAGAGACAGAATTAAAACGCATCTGTTCGTTATGAGTTACTAAGCTTTAAGCCTTACGACAGCAGTTTAACGCCAAAACGGTGGTTGGTGAAACCATGTTCAGGTTGTAAGATACTATTCTGATAAGGCGAAAGATGCAATGCCAATTCTCTAACACCTTTGAAAATAGCAATACAGAACTACCGATAGAGTTAAAGATGGAAAAGAAGAAGAAGAAGAAGAAGAAGAGGGAGGAGGAGAAGAAGAAGGAGTTAGTTTCTGTCAAAGTTCTGCGTAAACATAACCCATACTAGTCCCAAGCTAAGATCTGCTTTATGTGACTCATAACGGCGAGACATAAGAGATGGGAACCAACCTTGTAGGCCTGTACCAGGTCAAGGAGAGCGTGTCGCGCAGTGTTGGCTGCGGTCAGGCCGTCGTCTTGTCGGCGTGTGGAACTCGCCAGCATTGTCTTCGACACCACCAACTGCATGGGACCGGCGACGGCACGTGATAGATCCTCAGGCGCCATATAGCGCGAGACGAGACTGGTGGTGGAGAGGAGGGTGGAGGCGCTGCCACACTGGTTCATATCCGGCTGGCTG